GAGTTCTTCATGCAGCTGTACTGGTTTCGTCCAAGGTCCTTTTCTTTCTTTCTCTGTAACATTGTTTTTATTTGGGCTTTATTGTTTTTCAGAGTTTTCCAAGCATTCTGAACTGTTTTTACTCTAGGATTTCTATCCAGAAAATTTTATTCTTTCTTAGTTTGTCTTAGCCAGCACTCTTGAAATCTAAAATATTACTTTGCCTTTGTTCAGTTACCTGTACCTTTATTATGTTACATTCTAGAGTGACATGATCACTTCCAAAGGTCTCACAAGTTCCATCTCTTCAATCATATCATCCCTAGTAGTAAGAATTAAATTCAGTATAGCTGACCATCTAATTTCTTCCTCCACCTTTTGGGTTACAATGTTGTCAGCTAGGCAGATCAGAAATCTGTGTGATCTCCCATTTGCTACAGATTTTGTCTCCCAGTTGATGTCAGGGTAGTTAAAGACCCCCATTATTGTAGTAGTGTGTTTTCTTCAAATCCTATTTAGCTGATTAGCAAAAGGTTCATCTATTTCCTTCACTTGATTGAGTAGCCTGTGGTATACACCTACAGTAATGTGATTTCTTCTTCCTCTAATATTCACCCAAATTGATTCAATAATATTTTCATTCTTAGTATTATGTATTCATGTAGAGTTGTAATGATTCCTTCCATATAGTGCAATTCCTCCTCCTCTTTTGTTGAGTCTGTTTCTTTTGAACAATTTATATCCATCTAGCAGTACTTTCCAATCATGCATTCCATCCCACCAAGTTTCAGTAATGGCAACAATATTATACCTTCCCTCATGTAGTAGAGAAATTCATGTTCATCCTGTTCGTTCCCCTTACTTTGTGTAGAGGTACCTGAGCCAGTTATGGCTGATCTTGCATTGCTTCTTACATCTCTTGTTTTATATCTTTTCCCCCCTTTCTTTCGCCATTCCCTTTTTCATAATATGATTAGTTGTCTTGGAGTTTTTGCTTGGGGTTAGGCCCTAAAGATTGGTGTCACTCCCCTACCAGTTTTAGTTTAAAGCCCTTTGGATAAGTTATTTTCTAAAGACATTTCCCCCAGTCCTTGTAAACGATAGCCTATTCCNCCTGAGTCCCTTTTAGGGAATAGGGCGGCATATAAATAAAATAAAACTTAAACTTAAAACTCGTGTACACAGCACTCAAAGACCATCCTTGGTATCAGCACTGGTGAGTTGAGCTGTTTTTTTAGTTCAGCGAGGTGCAGCAATTCACTCTGCTGCACGAATCAGCTGAGCTAAAAAAACAAGGGAACATAGGACAGGAAATGATGGGAGCAGGAGGGCGGGGTCAATCAGAGGGGGTATTTGCCGGTTCTCCAAACTAAACAAAATTTCTGCTACCGGTTCATCCAAACCGGTCCGAACCAGCTGAATACCACCTCTCATTATGCCTCAATTTATCTGTGAAGCTCTTTATTGCAAATACAATATGGCTGCTGTTCTGAAAAGCTGATTTAGTGAACTTAAGCTGATGTGTGAACATTTTTTTCTTTTTTTGGTACGTATTTTTGAAAATGAGAAACAGTACTGATTTGTAAAGAGGAGAAAGACTGACAAAAATTTAAGATGCAGAAATTTTAGTTGCAATTAATTACTTTTGAAAGTAACAAATATTGTTAGCAAATTATGTATCTTCTATACCTGCACTTTTTGCATGTGTTTCTTTGTTGATGGCTCCATATGCCTCTGTTAAATTGCAGTTATTTTTAAATCCATTTCTCTAATTTATCCAGATTGTTTCACATTTGATTTCTTTTAATCTATTCACTAACTCAGGCTGAGTTAGCTGCAGTGCTCATAAGCATTTACTCCACTTCAACCAAATTATTAATAAACTGTATTGAAAAGCACTAGGCCCAGGGCACAACAACAACAACAATAATTGCACTATTTATCCTATTGTTTTCAAGATTGGCTTATGGTTATTATCGCACTATTTTCACAGAGGTATAATATAGAATTACACATTTGAATAATAGGTTATTTTTAATAGTAAGTTTAAATTTGCATCAATTTGATCTTTGAAAGAATAAAAAATTCGATGTCTTCCTTTTGTCCAAATCAAACTGATATAAATTATTTTTAGGCATTGCCTAAAAGGTTTTTTTTAAATAAAAAAATTGTTTTCATAGTTTGCTTCATTAATATAAATTTAGTTAGAATTATAGCTTTTTTGGTATCTTCTTTCCAATTAGCCATAGTTGGCTAATATTCTTTCTTGGTTTTCTCTATTTTTCATTTCCTTTAAATCTCCTTTTTTCATTTTTAGTTTTTATTTAATCTGTCAGGCATAATAAAAAATTGAAAGGATTTATCTATATCTCTGCATGACTTTAAATATATTAATAACAGCATGATATAGTAATACTAATAATACTGATGATACTAATGATACTAATAATACTAACTAATACTAACTAATAATACTAATAATACTAATAATACTAATAACAACAATAATTTCATTGTTCAAGTTCATATTTCAAGTTCAATAAAATTAAAGTGTTATCTCTTATCAGCATGATATATTTCAATGGTAGAAGGTAACTTCTAAGAAGATTTTGATTTTCTTTCCTAGAGCAATGGTTTTGAAAGATTGATTGTCTGTCAAACTAATGAGACTGATTGTCCTTAATTTTCATTCATTAGGATCTCTGATAATGGAAACATCATTCTAAATTGCAGCTGCTTAAGTTTGCAGAACATGACCATCGATTTTGGTTTAATGTGCAAGATACCACTTGTTTAATATTATGCCAAGTATATTACTAAGCAGAATTTACCAAAGAGGAGCATATATTATTTGATTTGAAAAGATTAGTGTTAGTGTTAGGGTTAGAGTTATGCTCTGGGGATGGGGGGTCCTACAAGCAAACCAGAAGTCTGTTCCCAAACTTCCAGTTTCCCCATAGAGCCGGCTTTTTACGCTTTGGAAGCTTCAGGGAAGCTTCCGGAGGGTGAAAAATGACCGCAAAAGAAGGCTGAAGTCAGCTGGCCAGCACGTGCATGCTGGCCAGCTGACAGGGCATCGCCTTGCTTACCCTGACAAATGGCTCCACGTGCCACAGTTGGCACGCGTGCCATAGGTTCGCCATCACGGGTATAGGGTATCCTGCTTGAGCGGGGATTGTTCTAGAAGATTTTCAGGCTCCAGCTGTGTTATTCTTTTATATCTGCTGTCCTTTTTTTTTATAGTAATTTTTTTTCTTTTCCATTTTCATAACATATAATCACATGTATACTATTACATAGCCAATATCATATTGTATTAAGTAATAATTACATCAGTTCTTCTTGCCATCAACTCCCAGAAAGATAAAAACCAATTATTATATCTGCTGTCCTTTTAATCTGGTCCCTCATCCTGAAGTCACCTGCTACAATGTGCAACATTTTTGGCTGATTTCCAGCATTTATTTCCAGTTTCCAGCAAAAAATGCTTTGGAGAAAACGGATTTACTTAATGATTGCCGTGTTTCATTTAATGATGATTATTAAAAATGCAACTGTAACTTTGAAGTTGGTCACTTGGTGCTTCAATTTATGGTCGCAATGATTTATGACCATAATTCCAGGTTCTTTAATTCAGATTCCACACTGGGCCTTTCAGTAAAATAGAAGTTATGTTACATTAAACCCCAAATTCCCACCTACAGTAGACATTACTAAGAATTTTTGAATTTTTGGATGGTATTGCTGTTATATAATTTTATAGCTCTATGTTTTTGCTTACTTGAATATTTTGTTATCTCTCTTAAATAAAACTTGCATTGGATTATCCTCTAAATTTAATATGTAGGCCAGACATAACACTTATTTATGTCAAAATTATGCATTTTATATTGTTTAAAGCAGACTTATTTATAATATAAAAAACCCCATTAATTATAACTTGTTAGCTATCTGATCAAAATGCATGTTATGATTATAATTATTAGCCTTTTCCCACTCACCTTTATGAAAGTAAGAAATGCATTTTTATCAGTTTGAAATTACTGGTTTCTAGACATTACTTTAGGCTTCATTTAAAGTGTGAACCACTTCAAGGCTATGTACATACTATTAAAAAGTATAATAAAACAGATAAAATCAGTAAAGATAATTAAGGGGAATGATGACAACTAAAAGCAACCACCCAAAAATACTATTCAAGGAAAGCCGAATGTTTCTTTTCAAGGGAAGGGAGAAAAGAACTTTACAAAGATCCAGTGGAAATTCATCCCAAATTGGAGGGTGGTTATTGAAAAAAAGCCCTCATGTTGTAAGCATAACCTTAAGGGCCAGGAATGCTTGTAGGAAGTCAAAAGGCATTCTCTCGAGAAAAATAACATTGGGACTTATTGGTATGGGTAAAGATAACCTTTTATGTAATCTGGATCAAGTTCATTGCAACATTAAAGATTAAAATCATAACCATTTTGGAAATGCAATATTACCAAGGCACATCTTGGGCAATAGCAGAAATACATACAGACTGTTTACAAAATAGAATTGAGAAGAATCAGAATATGTATATATTTCCAACATTTATTTAGTTCACTCGGAAACCCCATTCTCTAGCTGGTTTACATAATATCATAAGACATATGAAATATGTACTAATGCAGAATAATAGGACAATTATTATTTTTTTAAAGCTTGGGACAATACTGAAATATTTGTCTGATACCTAAATGATTACAATTAAAAAAATCCCAGTCAAAATACCATTTCATATGAATGAATTGATAGTAACCAAATGGTTAAAGAAAGTACACCGTGTAAAGCAGGCATGTTACACTGAAGGCCCAGAAGCTGTATCTGGCCCGTGAGGTGCATAGATCTGGCCTGTGGGGCCATACTGGAAAGAGTAAGCCCTGTGCCAGCAAAAACAGAGCTCAGGTGGGCTGCCCCCCTTCTGAGGTCTATTTTCACTGGCAGAGGGTTGCAGAAGGCCAACACAGCTGAAAATGGAGCTTGGGAGCCTGTTTTCTCTGGCAGAGCAGTCGGGTCACCAGAGGTGCCCCTGACACAAGTGACGTCGAGCTGGCCATTCCTACCCTAGCCACACCAATCTGCTCCCTGAAGTCAAACACGACCCTGATGCGGCCCTCAATGAAATTGAGTTTGACACCCTTGGTCTAAAGCCAAAGCTTTGGAGTACAGATCTGTATTCTGTTGTAGAGCAAAATATGGCACTAAACAAAGCTTGTCTCTATTTTTCAGTTTAAGAAAACAATTATCAAACAAATGTACTGTGATAATAGCTGTGTGATCTTCCTTCTGAAATACCTGCAGATAACATCATAATTCTATTTTCCCACATAAGAAAATACACAACCCAAGTAATTGAGATACAATGATGTATTAGCCAAGCATAGAGGAATGTTATTTAGTTATTTTCTATTAATAACCTGCAATTGGCATTTAAAAACAGTTTCCTACACTTATTTACTGAAAATATAACATCTATGTAGATATTCCAGTATCCAATGCCAGGGTTGTACTTTCTTGAATTGTATACCTGGATTTTTGTAATTTAGAACAAAAGGCTTTTTCTATAAATTTCCGGCATAAGAACACATATATTAATGGATCCATACATATATTTGCAGTAGCTAACCAGAGAGTACTTTCTTTGGCTATGAATAATTGATTCTGTTTAGTACAGCTCATACTCTGGCCACTTTGGCTAAGAGTATAAGGTACCCGAACAAAATGATAAGGGGCGAAACAGATGAAAAAAACTGCTACAATTATAAACACCTTGCTTTTGGCTCTTTGTTTAATTTTACACTCTGCTATCTTGGTTCTTTTATAAGAGCTATAAATCTTTTTAGCAATAATTACATAAAACAGAAGCATCAAAATCAGCACAGTATAGAAGACGATTTGACAGATGTAATTAACAGCTTCATGCCATTTCAGTCCCAAGTCACTTTTCAATGAAGCACACTTCCTCACTGGGAGAGATGTAGCCTCACGGTCTGTCAAGATCACATTGGGCAAGGAGAGGACAAAGAAGAAGAGCCAAACAGACCATGAAACCACTTTAGCTGAAGTGATCTTGTGCAACCAGAATTTCCCAAACGGCTGAATGATCTTGAGAAACCTATCTAAGGAAATAAGTCCAAGCAGCACAATGCTTATATACATGGTCTGGTAAAATATTACCGCTGAAAAACGGCAAACAAATGCTTTAAGTTGCCAGAACCCCATTTCTGAGTCTGTTAGAATCTTGAAAGGCAGCATGAGAGTCATGATGGAATCGGAGACCACGGTGTTCTTAAGATACACAATGAAACTTGAAGTGGTTGGAATCTGGAAGAAAGCAACTACAGCCACGCTGTTCAGTAGAAATCCCAAAAGGAAAAGAATGCTGTACAAAATTGGAAATACAACATGAGATGTCCTGGTATCTCGGGGGCATTGCCCAGAAGCAGATGTCCAGTTGGAAGCGTTGATACTTCCATTCATGGTTTAAGCAGGAATCTGGGGAAAATAATAATATTTATAGAAAGTAAGTAGGCGTAAAGGTTTTACTTAAAAAAAAAGTACAAAAGTAAGAAGACTAGAAAGCAGCTAGACTTTGCAACAAAATAGAACCATTTTGGATTTTCAGGAGCAATACATACATTTTGATAGCATGTATGACATTACATCATTTGGAATTTTTCATATCAAAAAAGAGGTTTAATTTTCTATGTGGTTAAGAATTGTGTGAACCTGGTTCTAACTTTGGTGCAAAGTGAAGGATGGGTGAATTTGCTCACACAGGGAAAAAGATCTGGGGGCTTTCCCCCCCCCCCCCCCCC